CTCAGATGTTGGTATATAATCTAAATCTTTCTCAGCCTGCAAAAAAAAAAAAAAAAAATTATATCAGTCTAAAAATATGATATTAAAACAATTCGCTCTGAAACATCAAATTATTATATAGATCAGTCCGTACTATTAAGTATTCGGGATTTTTGATCAACTTTGATTATTCATTGAACTATATTTTTGAGTAGATGCTCTACACTTAGCGCAAGTCTTGTCATATAATACCATATAACAATTTACTACAATTCTTGTCCAAAGTTTCAAAATTATATTTTTATTTTAAATATTAAAATTGATTAAACATCAGATATTTAAATTTAAAAAAATTTTCTCCGAATACTCATAATGATATGGACTGACCCATATCTAACCCAAAGTTTGTGTAAAATGCTAAACTCGAATTTAACCATATATGACACATTCATTTAAAGTTTTCAGAAATTTCAGTGTTACATAGTTGACATATATGGTTTCTATTAGAGATATTACTAGTGTTTGAAATTAGTTCCGTACCCTGTCCTTTTTGTTGTTTGCTTCATTGGAAGTGCCTTGTTCATCACTTGTAATTTCTGATCTTTGCTATCTCTTAATCTGGTTTGTTGATCTTTGTTCAGAAGAACTCTTAATGGGGTCGGTTGATCTTTGTTCAGGAGAACTCTTAATAGAATTGGTCGACCTTTGTTCAGGAGAACTCTTAATGGGATCAGTTGATCTTTGCTCAGGAGAACTTTGAAAGAAATTGTTTATTTCATCGTATAAGATCAGTATAATGAAATGAGATAAATTTAACCAAATACTTACATTATACCGCTTGCGTAGCTCTAATTGTTGGCCAGAATATAATTGCTTTTCCTCTCTTACATGTGTATTTAATGAAGTTTGGTATTTGTACTATATACAATTAGTTGAAGAGAAGGATCAGAAAGTTAATGTTTAAAGTACAAGATAGTCAAATGAGATATAAGATAAATAATAATGATGTTTAAAAGTATACGTGAGTATAATAAAGTACATAAAATAGGTAATAATAACATAACTATATTATTGAACTTACTTCTTCGACTATTTCTTTTCGTGTCAATTCACTAAGCTTAGCTATTAAATTTTTTTTCATCTTTATATCAACCTCAAAAGTAATAAATGAATCAATAAAACAATATTATGTACATCTTAATAATTAATATAACAACGGAAACACAGGGTGAAGCATATAACACTCTGCTTAATAATGACACACACTAAAGAAATCCAAGGTAGAGCGTATAATACCCTGTGTATTGATCTGACTTAAAGCCAAGTTATGTGTCAAAACTTTCTTTTTCTACAAACAAAATTGATGACAACATGCCAAGAAAACTCAAGCTAGAGCATGTAATACCCTGCGTATTGACCTGACTCAAAGCCAAATTATGCTATCAAAAATTTTGCTTTCTGCACACAAAATTTACTGACCTTAAATAACTTTTTTAATGAAGCTACCTTCAAGTTTTCTTTTGATAAAGGGCCATGCTTTTGTTCGATCACGTCTAGATACTTCTTGTACTGGTTGTTATAAGATCTCGCGAGATTAAATAAAAGTAACTTGTTAATAAAGGCGTAGTTAATAAAACCTGAATAAGACCAGCTATCAATAGTGTTTTCATAGAAGTAACTTAAAAAATATGTGTGTTTTTCATTTTCATCCTTAAATAAACAAAAAAAATTCATTTTAAAACAGTTTTGCAGTTAATAAGATTTTGATTTTGCAGTAAAAAAAATATGCAATAACGCGTCAGTTTTATAGAAGGAAATTCGCTTGATTGGCTGATGTAGATCAATTGCCCAGGTAACTTTTTGAGAACATGACAGTTCACTAATACAGTCAGGTATTTTACATGATTTAGAAATGATCTGCAATATACTAAGAGATATTCTAAACCCAATTTTAATATAAGCTGATTTGAGGAATTGCTAAGATCTTTTGATCTACTGATCCGTTCTGGATGATTTAGCTACCAAAATGTTCATCTCAATGAGACGATTCTAACGAGCCCAAAATCGTTAAAA